TGATAAAGTACGTTGCATGATGATCAGTTCGGGTGTTCCCAAGTCATTTTGGGGTGAGGCTGTTATGACAGCTTGCTATTTGATTAACCTTACACCCTCTGCTGCATTGAATGGTGATACTCCACATGAGAGATGGTCGGGTAAACTGAGCGATTACTCGATACTTAGAACTTTTGGCTGTACAGCGTTTTCTCATCAAAGTGAGGGTAAGCTGGAACCTAGAGCTAGGAAGTGTGTTTTCTTAGGATACCCTGAAGGTGTTAAGGGTTATAGATTATAGGATAGAAGCCAAAACGGAGTTAAAACCATCATAAGTAGAGATGTCACGTTTAACGAAAAAGAAATGCCGTGTATTAAAGGGAAAACTGAACTCGAGAGTGAGGTAGAATCGGGTGAAGAGAGAGACCAATTTAAGGTGGAGTTAGGAAAACTCAGTCCACCTGCCCCTACTGTCTCAAATGAGGTGGAGACTCAAACTCAGGAACCCGAAGTGGAAAATAGTAACGAAATAGTGACAGAAGAACACTATGAGGAAGAGAATCCCTTAGCTAACTATAACTTAGTTAGAGATAGAGAGAGGAGACAGTCGAGGGAACCTAGAAGGTTTGGTTTTGAATCTGAATTAGCTTTTGCCCAGGCTAGTTATGAAGAACTAGCTGATAAAGAGCTAAAGACTTTTGAAGAAGCAATAGGCAGTGATCAATCTAATGAATGGCTTAAGGCAATGAAAGAAGAGATGAGTTCTTTGGAAAAGAATCATACTTGGGGGCTAGTACCTAGGCCTAAGAATAAATCAATTGTTGATTGCAAATGGGTTTTTAAGGTTAAGGAAGGAACTAGCAGTTTGGAACCCCTAAGGTTTAAAGCTAGGTCAGTGGCTAAAGGCTACACACAGAAGGAGGGCGTTGATTATAATGAAATTTTCTCACCAGTTGTTAAGTTCACCACTCTTAGGGTCATACTCGCATTAGTTGCACAATTTGACTGGGAACTTGAACAACTTGACGTAAAAACTGCTTTCTTACATGGTGAGCTTGATGAACAAATTTTCATGAATCAACCTAAAGGCTTTAAGGATAAGTCAAAACCTGATTATGTGTGTTTTCTGAGAAGGTCCTTGTATGGGCTAAAACAATCTCCTAGACAGTGATACAAGAGGTTTGATTCCTTTGTACTCACTATAGGGTTTCAAAGAAGTAAATTTGATCACTGCCTGTACTTTCAACACAATGAGACTGATGATAATTATCTGTTTTTGTTGCTCTATGTGGACGACATGCTTTTGATTAGATCATCCTCTAAGTGGATAAATAACATAAAAACAAAACTAAGTGGTGAATTTGACATGAAAGACCTAGGTAAGGCTAAGAGAATCCTAGGTATTGAAATCGAAAGAGATAGGTCAAATTCTGTTTTGTTTTTGCATCAGTCTCCATATATATCCAAAGTATTGAAGAAGTTCAATATGAGTGAATGCAAACCTGTCACGTTGCCCCTTGCTAATCATTTTATTTTATCTAAGGAACAATCTCCTTGCAATGAGCGTGAAGTTGAATACACGAGTAGAGTACCTTACTCAAATGTGATTAGTTCCATAATGTATTTGATGGTTTGCACTAGACCTGATTTAGATTTTGCTGTTAGTACTCTCAGTAGATATATGGCTAATCCGGGACCTGAACATTGGGAAGCGCTAAAGTGGCTGTTAAAGTACTTGAAGGGTACTAGTAACGTAGGCTTAAAGTTTAGTACTAATAGAGAAGACATAAAATTAAAAGGTTTTGTAGATGCTGACTATGCGGGTGATAGGGATGGTAGGAAATCTACTTCATCTTACGTGTTTACCTTATCTAATTCATGTGTAAGTTGGAAATCACAGTTACAACATATTGTTGCACTATCCATTACAGAATCAGAATATATTGCCACCACTGAAGCTATTAAAGAAGCTCTATGGCTTAGAGGTCTACTTCATGAACTATGTGTTCCAATTGATTATGTGGTAGTGTATTCTGATAGTCAGTCATCCATACATTTATGCAAAAATCCTGTTTTTCACGAGCGCACTAAACACATTGATGTTAGACTCCACTTCATTAGAGATATAGTATCTCAAGAGGTGGTAAGACTTGAGAAAGTTCATACACACTACAACCCAACTGATATAGGGACGAAGGTACTGCCACTGGCAAAGTTTAGGAGTTGCAAGGAACTTCTAAACATTGGTACAGGTAAATGATTTCCAATTTTATTTTTTTTCTATTAGAGGTGTCACTAATGGGAGACAATTTTCTTTGCAGGTCCTTTGACACCAAGGTGGAAGTTGTTAGGCAATTTTGTTGTCAAACGACCTCCCCGGGCGATGATATAACCTCGGTTGTTTATTATCAATCGGTCTCGACCTAATGATTGATTAGTACATCGACACAATTAACGAGACAACACAATCCACTTTGTTATGGACTGTTCGAAGTAACCTATTTTATAGTGTTGCTCACGGTTCCCGCACCATTCCTTGGAAGGCTATTTTATTATTATTGAGGCCCAATGATTTGAGTCGAGCCTAGTTTGTTGATCCAACACTTAACCCTAATTATAACCTACCTATTTTTGACAATATGCTTGGCATATAATCCCCTTATTCTCTCGGCCTCCATTAGAGTGAAATAATCCCCTCTTTGTGAGTTCTCTCTCTCGACCTCTCCTTCCCCCTTTCACTGTAACCTTTGTGGTTAACATATTGTGGGTATATTCTTGGTCTTCTCCTTCCCAATTGATAGCAACCGGACCGGTGGCAGCATAGGGTGGTGTTGGAGTTGTCTCAAGTTTTGGTGTCGATGTTTTTGGTAAACTGAGCCTGATTTTGCACGTGCTGGCTGTGGAATTCTGCCCTACAAAAAGGAATTGGAGTTTTAGATCCTCAGGAAACTCCTTTCCTAATACTCTAAAAACATTTAAAAACATAAAAGACAAATTAAAATAAGCTGAGATCTCCCACTCCCCAAAGAAAACAATTATTCTCGAGAGAGGATTTGATAATTATATTGCTTTTTTGCTTTGCTTCCAATTTATGATTATGGTTACTATTATAATGTAGTTTTTGAAAAAAATTAATTAATTTGAAAAAGGCCTTTTGAAACATGCAAAAGGCAACATTCATCAATTGCATTTTACTAAAAGGGGTCTATCGCAATATTCACTAATTGTATGTTGCTGTTGATGTTGTAATTGAAATTTGATAACAGCATATCAATTCATGTTGCAAATGTTAAATTTCGCAACGTTCAACAACCGTTGCGAAAACTCTATCATTTTGCAACATTTTCTGAACGTTGTGAAAAGTTTTATCTACAACAATGTTCAATGTGTTGTTAAAACATCTTTTAGCAACGTTCATTAACTCTTGCGCAAGATTTTAATTTTGGTAACATTCATTGACTATTGCAAAAAGTATCAGTGATTGCAACATTCATTGACTACTACAAAATGTTCAATTTTTGTACCAATCTATAGCAATGTTCTTAAATGTTGCTGAAACACTTAATATGTACCATTTTGTAGTGCGCATCGATTGTTACAAAAATATAACATTTAGCAACATTCTTTGCTAGTTGTTATTAATCCCCACTAAACGCAATTCAAATTACCTATTTAACTTTGCCAACCCATCTCCAGTCCAATTATATCCAACTTGATCGGGCCTATAAAAGCCCAATTCACCAAATTTTGAACGATTGCCCTAAATCGCTTCAATTTGTTCTTTGCTTCGAGCTTCCACTCTCCTTTTTGCTACATTCATCCTTCAAACATACTAGGGGAGACAATGATTTCTGTTGCACAACCAGGTATGGAAAAACCGCCATGAGTGCTTGTATATCACTTGAAATCAAGGTTTTACAGATTAACTCGACTTGCGGTTTATTTACTATCATCAATAGATCTT